GGGGGGGGGGGAGGAGAGGGGACGGGATGGGGGAGGAAGAAAAGAAAAAGCAGTGCTTTACCAGATGAGGCATTGCATCAGTTTGACCCGGCTCACCCAACACCTGTATAGTTCATGCATTTCAGCAGGGCTTTTCTGAGAATTATCTAATAGCTGATTGAATCAGCTACTTGATAAAAGCTCCAAAAAGCCTCGCTGAAACGCACAATCTATACCATGGGTGGGCAAAATGTGGCCTGCAGGACGGAAGCGGCCCACGAGGCCCCTAAAAAATTTAGAAAATTAATATTTCTCTGTCTTTGGTTCCTGTCAAAAATGACAGGAACCAGGGGCAGTAGGACCCAGGGGAAGCCTGGCAGGCTCCTGCAACAGCATGGCTCGGGAACATGTGGCTGCCCCATGCAGGAAACTCAAGTAAGGGGGTGCAGGGTGGAGAGGACAGGGAAGGAGCCTGGGGAAAAAGTGGCCCCTCCCCTGCCCTGTGGCCAGCGCAACCTGTTGCAGCCGCTCGCAGCCTGAGCGAGGCTGTCCTGAGCAGGCACAGGCAGCCCCAGGCAGGCTGCAAGCAGCTGCAGCATGGGGCACTAGGCACAGGGCAGGTAAGGGGCCAATTTTTCCACACCCAGCACCAGCTTGTAACCTGGCCCTGCAGCCAGCCTGGGCCCTGTGCTGGCTCTGGGCTCGCCTATCAGGGCTGCGCACAGTAGCAGCAACTGCAACCCTGCCGCTTGCTGCACCAGGCAGTGTTTGTTGTTTGCTGCTGGCCCGGAGCTTGCACACTGGGCAGCACAGTGGCAGCAGTAGCAAACACTGCCTGGCATGGCAAGCGGGGGAGCCGCAGCTGTTCCCACCCCAGTACAACCCCTACAGGCAAGCCCGGAGCTGGCGTGGGCCCAGGCTGGCAGTGGGGGCAGGTTATAAGCTGGTGCTGACCATGGGAAAAGTGGCCCCTTGCCTGCCCAGTGCCCCATGCTGCAGCTGCTCGCAGCCCACGTGGGACTGCCTATGCCTGCTCAAAACAAAATGAGGGCAGGGGGTACATGGCAGGATGCCCTGCTTGTGCCCCTTGCCCCCCAGCCCTGCTGCCCCATGCCTCCCACCCAAAGCCCTTGGCCCCCCAGCCTGGGCTCTGCAGCTGTCAGCAGCTACCCAGAACCTGGGCCAGGTACAAACATCTGCTGCCTCTACGACCCAGCCCCCACTTGTGCTTGCTCAGGGCAGCCCCATGTGGGCTGCGAGCAGCTGCAGCAGGGAGCACCGGCACAGGGCAGGGAAGGGGCCGTATTTCCCTGTGCTCCACACCAGCTCATTCCCTGCAAGCAGAGTGTTGGGGCTGCACGCTGCCCCCTGCCGTACTGTGGGGCTGGGGGGGGCACTGGGAGTGAGCGGGTGCATGGGGCCCACACCAATGTTCCGGGGCCAGCACCGGGCACCAGGAGTACAGGGTCCCGGCTGGCAGGGGCTCTATGGAACCAGGCCAGCTCCCCACCCTGCTGGTGCAGCCCAACCTGGCTGCACAGACCCCTGCTAGCCTGTGCCCTATTCTGGGCCCCACTGGTGCTGGCCCTGAAACATTGGTCCCAAGATGGTGACCAGGGTGCAGGGCTACCCATGCAGCCCTCGACCACTTGCCAAAATAGGGTAAGTGGCCCTCCACCCCAAATAATTGCCCACCCCTGCTCTATATAGATGTTAAGCAAGCCAGGTCAAACTGATTCAATCAGCTATTAGATAAAAGAAACAAAGAACCCCACTGAAGCACATGATCATATATTGGGTGAGCCAGGTCAAACTAATGTGATGTCTCTTCCAGGCATGCAATGCACTCAGCATGGGGGTGCACAAAGCTGAAAGTAAAGTGCTAAGTTTTTTTTCCACATCTGTAAGCAGCCTTAAGTAACATCTTGTGAGGGCTTACTTTCCCTGCCCTCCTCAAGTTTGAGGGCAGATTTGCTTCTTAGAAAGACAGTCCAAATGACCATAATTTACACCTTCAAAAACAAAAGAATTGGAAATATGAGTCCCTTTTCTAATATGGCTCTTTATATGGATAATGGATCTTTAACAGGACTTCACTGCATTTTTCCTAACTTTTTCTGTATTCATGTAAGTAGTTTTATATATATGACAAAGCTGATTTCAGGTCATTAGTCTGCAGGTGTTCACCAAAACCTTAATCTGCACTGCCTGTTTGTATTTAGCCTGGATACAAGCATGCAAACATTTCCTGACTCTAATGGGAACAGTCTTTTAGAAAACTATGCCTCAAGAATTCACACACAATGTGAAATGCAATCCCAGCTAAATCTTCAGCTGAAAATATCCTCAACCGTTAATAGCCTCTTATCTATAGGTTGAAAATTACAATCGTAGAGTGAGCCACTTTACTGTTAATAATGCACTAATAAAATAATGCTGCATAATTCCCAGTAAGACAGTTACTATAGAACATAAAAACAGCATTTCAGTTTTCAGTAGCAGCAGGCTCATCACGAAGAACTCTGAAATCAGAGAAACAGCCTCCCAGCTTCAGAGAACGTTGTAACAAAACATTTTCATATACATACATACAGTAGTGCATCACGGTTCTACAGAAAACAGCTGAATGCCTCCTACAACCACTCACTTGGAAATATATTGTGTGGTGCTCATTTTACTGGCATATAAGTCAATAATATGAAACAGGAGCATGCATACCCAACCTATTTAGCCAAAAGTTTCAGGGAACAGAAGAAAACTGTGGCTCCTATGCATACAGAACCAAAAACACTGGGACTACAATGGAGCTATAAGAAACTACTAAAGCAAATAATAACAACAATCAGAAATTGATTTAATTGAGACTGCTATGGTAAAAGTTGTGTGCAATGATGTGGTCCAAGACTAAATGACCCAAGTTCTGGTAAGAAGTAATTTCTTAACTGTTGATTCTGTATCAGCTTTTTCATTAAAGGTAACAGCAGTGGATCCTGCCGGTCAACATGCTGTTTCATATACTCATGCAACAGTGTTCAGATTTTAAAACTTTATTTCCAGTCAAGATGATCAAGAGTGGATCCGGCTCTTTTTTCCTTTATTGCACTCTTATAAAACTTCTTGCTATAATCAAGAAGCCAATAAACAGAAGTAGTTGCATATTACTTTAAAACGTATAGTTTAACTCTCTTAAATAACATTTATATAGAAAAGATACCATTTACAGCCCATTTCAGAAGTACTGAATCATTATATACTCCCAAACAATATTAAATATCCCTAATGCAGCAGATTCTTTATAGGGCAGAGTGAGGGGGTATTTATTTTCTCTTTAGCAAATATAATATTCCAGTGTTAAACAGCATTTCAAGTCACCTTTGGAGCAACCGTGATATACAGAAACTTCTTTCAAGAAGCTTAACACCCATGTAGTGTAACAAAGATATATTCAACTGTGTCCAGTGCATAGCTTAACAGCAGCATGTGAAGAGTCCATTACCTTATTGGCACACCATTATCTAAAAGGAAATAATTTACCCAGCAAATACAGTGCATTTATAGAATGCCAGTGAGGCACAGAAAAACAACAAGATGTAGCGTCACAAAGTATGTGAGGAAAAAATATCGGGATTTTGCTCGGGATGTCAGCAGCTTGGAACAGTAAAGGCTGCGCCTTCGAAGCCATCTTCTGAAAGAAAGGGCTCTTCCTTTTATCTAGTTAAGAAAGAAACAATATCAAATAAGTACATATCAAAAAAGATACATCAGTAGCTTTCAAAGTAATCTAATTTTCTGAAGTACTGTAATGCCTGCAACTGGGTCATAAGTAATGAATGCTTAAGCATATACATAATTAAAATAATATGCACAAAAAAGCCACATCTATCTACTGTTTGTATTTAGTGTAGATTATTATCATTATAGAGTATATAAAAGGTGAAATGAAATGTAGAGCTTTATTTTTATTATTTACATACAACTCTTCTGTGTTGTATCCATCACTAGCACAATAGGTAGTAAAAATATTCCCTTTTTCTGGTTTTTAGCACAAGGAGAAGACAAAGCTAATTTGTGTGTTTGATTCTTAAAAACAAAAGAAACAAAAACAATAAAGGTACTAGGATACTCCAACATATTTGTAAATATTTTGCTTTTGTAAATATCTATTCCTTATGATAGGAGGGCTTCCCCCCTTAAAGTCTCTCCCCATACACACATGCAAACAGGAAACTTGCAACTGGTAGTATTTACATATAGAACAGACAAAATCTTCCACCAATATAATGAAGCAAAAGGAAAAATGGTGATTTATACCAGCTTCAGATCTAGCCCTACATGTTGTACACAGCTTATTCAAATTGTTGCTGTTGTTCAGTTTAGTAAATGCCATAATAACATATTATTCAGTTCTTTTGGGGTTCTTTACCAAAATGAGCTATTCAAATGAAGAGCACTTATAGGGCAACCCCCCCCATGACAAAACACTTTGCCATCTTTTGAGCTATGAGCTGTCTGCTGTTGGTAATGTACAATATGTGCAACCAGTTTAAGGCAACATGTCACTCAAACCTTTATTTAAAGCTATATATTTACTTACCTTACGTACAACTTGTTTGTCGGGATCAATGATCAAAGCCTCTCTTTCCTCATCAGACTCTATTTGGATAGGATAATCTCTAGGAACAGATCTGTAACTACTCATTTCAACACTAAAAAAAAGAAATAAAAAGGAGGAGGGGAAACAATACTGAATTATATACTTTTGGATGGACCATCATCACCTACCTATAGAAACAGCTTTTGTACAGCTCACTGCTGTGGAGAGGGAGAAGGATGAATGTGCAATTACCTCGGTTATTATCAGGTTAGTTTTTAGTTGCTATTCATGAGTATGCAGCAATTCTCAAATTGAAGAGAGATTTTACTTATTTCAATTTATTTAACGTAATTATGCATCACTCCAAACATACATATAACAGACTTTTGTACATATTATTCTCTGGTAACTTGTGGAGGGAAAAAATTGACCCGTGAGTCCAGTTAAGAGACTGGTAGGTACTTCTTAATTTATCTCAGAACCACAACCAAACATCTCTTTCACCCTCATACCTAGACTCAGCAATTCAGCAATGAGACACGCTGGCTAAGAACGAAAAAGCTTTCAAAACTCCTTGTACTACAGTCCTTGAAAAAAATTCACACATCCCTGAAAAAATTGTTAATGCATCTATTTTTGTACTGAGCCTTCATTTTAGCTTTACAACTAAAAATCAGTGAAGAAGAGGATTTACCTAAATTTTGCATTTGGGGCTTTTAGAGGAAATGAACAGGATGGAACAAAATTACACCTGGACAAGTAAATACCACTTAGGCATGGATTGAGTGGAACAGGACTGGTCCTAGAATGCACCACATATATATGAATTTGAATTTTAATTCTCTCACCTTTTACTATATCCATTGGGGTAACAAGTTCTGTACAGTATTGGATTTTCAGAGGCAGGCATGAAACCCATTATGTCTGTACTAGCAAACTGCCTGTCATGAATGATGGGGGGGGGGGGGG